CAACGGTAGCAGAAAGTCGGTATACCTAGTTTTATGAAAGACATGGTATACTATATTGAATCAAATAGGATAGTCCACTAAATAGAATACTTTAGATTGCTAGTTTGTTTGTGATACCAAATTAGGATGGATAATTTTCCATGCCTTCCATTCTATTCACGTAATGTATAAATACATACAATCATAATACAAATGGGCCTATCTCACCAATACGTTACGCTGACTAATATGGGCTGATATACAATATACACGAATGGTTCGGTTTTTGGATTTCAAACCTAATCTAAGTACTTATGCCGGTTGAGTGCATGTGAAAGTTTAGGATCGACACATGTTTGTCTGAAAAATAGTTTAATTGTGGGTTTATTGGAAGTAGCCTACCTCATTTGTTATGCTATAAAAGCCATCAATTTTTGAACAATTATCAATTAAAATTGAAACATTTACCCGCTACGTTTTTGTAATTTTTAAGTAAAAACATTACAGTTTTGATTTAATTTGATTTTGATAATATTTTGTTTGAAAAAAAAATTGAAACATGTGTTAATGTTATAACAAAATTTCAATCATAATATTGATTATAACAATTTTGCGGTAAAAAATTACGACAATGGACCAAAATTGAAATTATTAATCATCTCGAAAAAGACTTGCAACAATGGACCAAAACTGAAATTGAAGTTATTTATATAGGCAATAGTGCCGACTGTGAGATATTTGTAGGATATCGTATTTGATTATTTACTCATGTAGTGCTCTTGCCACCAAACTAATTAGCCATAATAATAAGTTATAACGAAATACAAATACAAATTTTGATTATTCTGAAACTAATTGGGAAAACTCCTAACGATCATTAACGTATTCCCATGCCGATCCGCCACAAACAACGACTATAATATTACTATTTTATGAATTCATTAAACGAGCTCTTGAAAGAAAATTATATCAATCGTAACAAAAGTCTATCAATAAGGGAGGACTCACTGCCACATCAGCTTTTCTTTTTCATTAGTTTTCATCTTTTCTAACCCACAACACATAAAAATTTTATCTTTTTCAACCCACTCAACTCACTCAATTAAAAAAAAAATACAAAACAACTAAGGTACAAATCTTAAAACACATTGTACAAAAGAAAATGAGAGAGAGAGGATGAAGTGGTTAGTGAAACCAATTAAACAATCTGTTGAAGAGGGGATGGTACCGACGGTAACTATATTGCTAATTAAGATTTTACTTTGATTGTTTTGTAATTTTTTTAATTGAGTGGGTTGAAAAAGATAGAGTTTACATGTGTTGTAGGTTGGGAAAGATAAAGAAAAATAAAAGAGAAAAATTGATGTGACAGCGGGTTCAGTGGGTTGGGAGAGAATGACTCATTCCTCCTTAATTAAGATTTTACTTTGATTGTTGTGTATTATTTTTTTTAATTGAGTGGGTTGAAAAATATAGAGTTTCCATATGTTGTGAGTTGGAAAAGACAAATAAAAATAAAAGAGAAAAATTGATGTGGCAGTGGATTCAATAGATTGGGAGAAACTGACTCATTCCTCCCTAATAAAAACAACACCTATCCCAAAATTAATAACAAACAACAATAATTCGCAAGCTAAAATTGAATTATAAGCACCTTCGTATACTACACAAGAACGTGGCGATCATATTTTTAAATTTTAAAGAGTAGATAACAGCGATATTTCATAAAACATAACTTAAAATCTAACAAGAAGTTCAAGATTATGTTTTATTCAAGGTTATCAAGATCCCGATCCTGATTATAGGATAGTAAGATCTTTTGATCCTACCTATGAAATTCACGTCAGATCATAATACGATCACTTTATATGTAAGATCGCATATGGGATCGTCGGATCGGGATCCGATCCAATCCTACCACTCTATGAAAATTGACAAATTTTAATCAAAATTTTCATTTCTTTACCCATTTACTAATGGCCCCGTCACCTTACCCCTATGTCAATCGATAATAACCTTATTCAATACCTATTTTCTGAACCGTAAATTGATTGATATTGCTTCTTACCCTTATTGATTACGCTTCTTATTAAGAGTGGTATACTGTAAAGTGGTTGATGAATGTGAATTTTGCATGATTTAAACTTATAATTATGTCATTTTCAGTGGGTCTTAGGATCCTGATATCGACATTAAAATCCTGATTTTGTAGACCCGAAAACGATCCTACGTAGGATCCCGATCTTAACAACATTGGTTTCGTCGTTAGAGGAAGTACCGGAATACATAGCTGACTCTTTTGCAACAAGTTGACTAGTAGCAACATATGGTTTGACAGCAACAAGAAGTGGAACACTTACCGGTGCATAGATATTTTCATATGGAAAGTCTAGAACAAAAACCTATATGATTCACTATTTAAATGAAATTGATATATAAAAACAAAATAGTCAAAAAATAGTAGGGGGTTGGATCGTATAAGTAAACCAAAAAGATGTGAAGTTCTTATAATTGTACCTGACGAATACTAATATCATGAAATATTTATACAATCATATCGTTACTAGTACTATCTAAAACATTTTTTTCAAGATATAACACTAAACTATCACTTCAAAATTAATCACTTAATTTTTTATTATATGACACAAATATATCACTCAAAATATCTAAGGTTATTTCTTAATCCGTAATTAAGTATTTCGGCTATAGAGATATAAAAGTTGGGCTTTAAAAGTCTTGATTTAGATTTAACTTTTTTGTCAAACAAATTAAGGTAGGTCACAAATCAATTTTATATATTGCTTGTAAAAGAATTAGGTTAGTCAAGTAACCCATGTTGACACTATATGTATCACGCCATCGTATGTTCACAAACAATGTAGTCAAGTGTATATTGACATCCATATTTACAAGATATAAACTTTCTCCAACACATATTTATATCCCTCCCGTTATGAGGGGTACATATGGGTAACGAACACAAACACACACTAAATAATTCAACGTCAAAAGTAGGAGGTTGATTTAGTTATGTTGAAGTAGTTGAATAACTAATAAGATTAAGTAGAAGAAGGTTGTTCCATTATATGATAGAGGTTTAAGACGAGACAGTAAAAAGTAAAACCAATTAGAATATCATAGATTCTTCACTTTTAAAACGACACAAAAGAAGTCATGCCGTTAAAGGTTTTTACGTTGCTTGATTGTTGTAAGTTTCAACATAAAACTCCATGATCTAATGTAGATTATCGTTCGCTCCACCAACTATGGAAGAACTGATAAATTCAAAATGAAAACTCAGAAACTGGAAGAATGTGGAGGGAGAGAGGAGGGCAGAGAGAATTCTCGGTCACTGGTTTCTGGAATACATCTCCAAGAAAACTGTAATCGTAGCCGCAAAAACCCTAGGAGACACCCAAAATAACCGCGAGAGCAAAAATACGTCGTCACCGTATGAAGTTACACATTAATTGGATTGGTCCAACCCAATCCGACTATAACTTTGCTAAAATAAAAGTTCCTTAACTCTAAACGCCTAAAAATGCAAAGTAAATCAAATGACAAACCTCTCATCTATTCACATTTGTGGGCTTGACCCATACCTTATCCACCACTAAAGCATTCGAAAGCTTAAGGTAAGAAAAAAACTTTTAAACCTATTGTAGGTAGGGTTGTTCATTGTTTGGATAAAACCGAATTGTTTAATTGGACAATTTGGATCGGACTATTTGGTTTGGGTATTTGGATTTTTGGATTGGTTTTCTGCAAAACCGAATTATTATTCTGGATTTCAGATTGCTTTTGCTTATAAACTAAGAACCGAATAATCCAAAAAAACCGAATAACAACCTATTATTAATTTTTCATATGTATCTTTAACTATTTAAAAATTTACTAAATTATTACTTTTAGTTATTAGAATTTTTCATCGAATATAATAAGTTAAAATTACTTCTAATCAAAAGTTTTTTGTCAATGAAATATTAACTATAGTTTGTTTTCTTGCTATTTGTTTATAAATTATAATTTATAAAAAAATTAGTTTCTTTATAGATTTTGCTAATATTCAACTTATATATTTTTCAAAATGTCTTGTCTCTTGAAAACCGAATTGTAAAATCAATCAACCGAATTGTAGTTTGGTTGGATCAAATCAGATTTAAATCTAGTTTGGATTATTTTGATCAATGTTTTGAAAACTAAAATTTATTCGGATTCAGTTGATTGGATCAAATCAAACCGATCCATCCAAACGAACACCCCTAATTGTAGGTTTCACCCCAACTACATGTCACTAGAGAAAATTGCCGCTTGCAATTCAACTTTCTAAACCAATCACTATAGTATCTTTACTTTGTTATATCTATCTTTTATAGTATATCTTTAACTTTCAGAGATTGCACGTGTAACCATTAAATATAAATATCGATGATTTTGTACAGAAAAATTTAGGATGCGTTTGGTTGTGGAAAACTGTTTTCATTTTCTATGAAAATGTTTTCAGAAAATAGGGTTGAATTTTCATTTTCAAAGAAAACACGTTTGGTTGGAACGGATGGAGTTTTCATTTTCCATCTTAGAAAAATTTTGGAAAATTGTAAAAATCACTTTTATAATTTACGTACAATTTGAAAAACTGAAAATTTTCATTTTCTTTGAAACTTTGGAAAACTGCACAAACCAAACGCGTTTTCAAAATTTCCGTTTTTCTTGGAAAATTTTCCACATCCAAACACACCCTTATTGTCACAACTTAAAACTATCTATATATTTTGATTATTGTGATCAGCATAACAATTATCGATGACACTGTATTAAACATTGCCTATAATTAAACATCTTACTAAAAAAACTAATCAGACATATAAGTTCTACAAAAGGATATTGCGTCATCTACCTAGTAATCAGAGACAAACAATATACAAAAATACTGCATGCATGATGCTAACTTAATATTCAATCCAAGAAAACAAAAAAAAAAAAAAAAAAAAAAAAAAGGTTATTTTGTAATTATAAATCCAAGTTTAATAAAATGTTACACTTGTTATGCACAAATTCGTAGTATATTGTTACCTGTAATTTGATTTCTAAATATATATTAGGCTCAAACCAAACCACATAAACCGCACAAAAAGGAAAACCAAACATTATAACCTTTATAATATACAAACTTGTAAAAGAAACCTTTGCTTTGCATACATTCCTAACCTAAAAACATTATGTAATGAACTTGACAGAATAGAATATACAAACCACCATCAATCCAAAAAGAAAAGCTCCAGTTTATGGTAAGTTGATGATATGTGAGAATCAATTTTATTGATAGAGAAAATTGAATCAAATTTTAAAATGATGAAGAAGATACAAGTCACCTCCAAACAGTCTCATTTGCATCAGTGAAAATGGCATTGTGATGTTCTATCAGACACTGTAAAACCTCTATGCCACTGAAGTCAATTCGCACCCCATCATCCAATGGGATTGCTGAGGATACATCTGAATCTTCACTTTCATCTGGATGGAATTTTTTACACCAATAAAAAAAATTAAAATTAACTCCCAGATTCTAGCATCATTATGGTTTAATAAACAAAGGAAGAAAAGCAGATTGTTATTCCTGGCATTAGAGAGAACACAAACCTGCAAGCATATCCCATTCATTATAGTTTTGTACAGAATCAAGATTTGCATTGGATTGAGTCTTTGAAGGCTGATTCCAGAACTGTTTATAAGTTTCTGGTGGTTGTCCCTTCTGCCACATAATGATAGGAGCCATCTCCATAGCAAGGCTTCCAGCATCCATCTAAACAAAATATAACTTATAATGATTTATTTGTAAAAGAAAAAGTGAGAGAGAGAGAGTACCTTGTTGAGAAGTGACTTCTTGCTAACACGAAGCAATAAAGCAGTAATGAGTTCAAGTGTCATGTAATTAACTGTGGGAAGCTTTTTCAATATGCTTCTCATTAGTGGGATGCTGGAACGGGCCCCACGCACTTCATTGTGGAGGTCTGGAGTGATTAATGGCTGAGGAAGGCTTGCAAGGTAGCACTTCACAAGGGCAGCAACGTCAATTGGGTTCACATTTTCAGGTAGTGGTGCATTCAAGTCTGTAAATAGTTAAGTTTTCACAACTCACAATGAATTATATAAAAAAGATGGATGAAATTTGGAGTAGTGTTGGTACCCTTACCCTGGTTGTATAATGAAACCAACTGCTGAATGGCTTTCTTGTTCCCTTCAGACTTGAATAAATCAGGTGAGTTTAATCCTGATAATACAAGATAATCTGCACATTTGATTAACAGAAAAGGAACAGGCTTGCTGGATTCTTGCCTCTGTACTGTAACCTCTATTGGAACACCAAACACTAAACAAAAAACAATTTCATGTCAATTTAAAACACACACAAAACTTTTCTTTGAGTACTTATGTAAAAAAATTAAATAAACTTACCATCAGTGCTTGCAACACCCTTTTGCCATCTTTCAATATCAGTCAACAGAGTTTTGCTCTTTTGGGCAGTCTTCTTTGCCACCTGGAGAAAAGTCAATGATAAAATTAAACCATAAATGATTAAAGGTGGAATAGTATTTAGTGGTTAGTAGTTACCTCTTCTACTTTGGTTTTCCCTACAACAACTTTCTCTTTTGTCTCTGAAACACCTTTTCTTAGAAAGAAGCTTGTAGTAGCAGCAGCATTGACAAGTTTTTCCTGCATTGCTTGTCTTGTGGATGGCTGTTGAAAGAGAGACCATCTGTTTTTCACCACAGAGCCAAACTTTCCTGCAGCTTCTGAAACATTGCCTTTTGCATCTTTAGCAACTTCACCAACAAATGTTCCTGCAGACTGTCCAGCTTCTTTCAGTTTTATCCCTGCATTGTTTGTTTAATTTATGAAGAAAAACTCAGAATTGTCAAGTGAAAGAGCACATAAGTTAAGTTAAGTTAAGTTAAGTTACCTGAAGATGAGAAGAAACCACTGGCCTTCTCTTGCCATTGAGGCGAAACGACTGAAGGCATTAAGCTGATTTCTTTTACACCAATGTAAAAGAAATAGAAACAATCAGCGAATAGAATAAGTAATTAGCAAGGTTAATCTTTTGTGACTATATGTTGACAAGAGTTTTTATCACTAAGGATAGGATCAAAGTTCCAGACGATGTATATTTATTAACTTTAAAAATGTTTCAGGCAAAGCCAGCCAAACAGAGTGTAGTTTCTTGATCACTAGACAAACAATCTAGAAAGAAGAGCAGTTTTTTACAATTTGAGTCTCTCTAATTTGAAAAAGAAAGTAATATGATCATTGGGTTGTTATGATTGCTTTTAAAATATCCACGCAGCGTACGTAAGTACTCTTGGAACAAACAAACTAAATCAATTTCAATTTTTCAATATCAAACGGAGATGATCACATCAATGATCGCCAGAAAACTTCGAATTCCACAGAGAACAAAAAGATTCAAGAAACTGAAGAACCGATTAGCCACACCAGTTGTATTCTTATTCAATGATGAAATACGTGTTTGTAAACAAACTGAAAGCAAGCGATCAATCTTCAAAGGTATATATAGAAACGCATATATATAACAACAGATATCATTAAACAGTAAAGATCAAAAACTTACGAAGAACGAAACCCTAGAGAGTTGCGAAAACAGAATAATTGAATTGAGGGTTTACCTTCCGATTTGCGGTTAATGGATACTAAGATTTCTCGCAACGAATCTTGAGGAACAGCTAAAATCAAAAGCTTTTAGAGAGAGAAAGAGAGAAAGACGTGATCATTCGAGTTCTTTTGTGGGGGAAAGTGACAGTAGGCAAGAAAATAGACCATTGACTAAAGTAGGATGACGAGTCAGCAGAACAAACGCCAATAAGGCTGCTGGTGTAGGAGTTTTTGGTGGACTAGAGAATATGGTAACGTAGCTCTATTTCTGGATTTTTCCAACAGATTAACGGTAGAGAAATTATTAAATAATTTTTAATTTCTTGTTTAGTTTTTGTTTTGAAACTTGGTATTTTGTTACATTTACATGATCGAATTCATCATAATATGCATTTACATTGGATAAATGTCTAAATAATTTGATATCACAAAAGAAAATGTTTCGAAAGGGCTTTCCTACTCATAATGATACCAACATAATTTAATCAAAATTTACAAATCGATAGTATCAACTAAATTCACTTTTTTAAGTTCATAAAATTCATGCAACATGTACTAGGGTTTGAAATTTTCTTTATTCGTAAAAATTTGAACGCTTTTTTTACTTGTACAATTCTTTGTACAATTCTTAGAGATTTGGTTGATATCCAAACATCATTTAAACTAAGTAATTATCCACTTAAGATAATTGTCTTTGTATCATTTTCTTCTAAATTTAAAGCTTTTGGCTTATTACAAAATAAGTTCATCTCTATTGGTTTCTAATTAAACCATCAAGTATTGATAAATAATTAAACTCTAGCACCAATCTGAATGGTTGTATTTGTTTCCAAAATACACAATTTTTTCTATCAAATAACTATCAAGTGTAGATGTGTGTCAGTGTGAGGTTTGGGTTGCAAAGAACTTTTACATATAAATTACATTTTTTTGTTGCAACTTATTTGTCTCAGCATAAAAAAATGTATTTTTGTGTTTGTATATTTAAGTTGTTTGGATTTAATATATGATTTTCCTGGATTATCCTAAATTTGATTTCATAATACCCAATGCAATAGGGTCAAAATACAGATTTTGAAAACTTTAGACACATTCCTTGAAATTATCCAAGTTACTTGTTGATATTCCTTCCCCTACTTCTCTAACAATGAGATCAAAGCAAAGCATCCAACTTTTTTAATCTTCAAATGTGCCAATGCTAGCAACTATTCTTTCAACATTGAAAACATCATTACTTCAATACCTAACTTATATACATTTCATATTTTTTGAACAAAATCAAACGTATTTCTAGTTACAGTTAGCTGACTTTAAGCTTTGTTAGCTCAATTCAATTTACAACAAATCCTCCAAATAACACAAATCTTCTTTTTATCCATACCAAAGATTACAAAAATGTAAGTTTTTGTTAAAAGGTTGCCTTTTCCCTTATATTTGCATCAACGCCATGGATGTAGGCATCCTATTCCATTGATGCTCTCACAAGATTCTTCTGAGATATGATCATATAAATCATCTCTATCAAATCCCAACTTCAAGAAACCAATCCTCTTATGTATCATGGAACACCAATATGTTGAATATTCAAATTGTCAAGATTCTGGGATTTTTCAAACATGATCATGATAGTCCCCATTGCTGTCAAATTTCTTCAAGTTTCTTACAGATTTGCTTTATATCAGGCCTGAGAGAAGGCGATGGAGAACAACAATTCATTGCCATCGTGAACAATCCAAGAACACGTTCTTCATTCATCAAACTTCCATCACCATTATCTTCATCAACCAGAATATCAGGATGATACAAATCTGATATCCGGTTATCCAAGATTGCAATCCTCAACGAGGTTGCCAAATAAGAATCTTGATTAGGGTTTCCTTTCTTGTTCACTGCTTCCTTTCCCGTAAGTAATTCTAGTAAAATCACTCCGAAGTTGTAAATATCAGTCGCCTCATTCGTTTCTTCCATTTGCATCAATTCAGGTGCTTTATACCCTTCAATATCAGCTTCTTCTAGCATTTCTTGAGCTGCATCTGGTTTCAAGAAAGTGTGTAGACCAAAATCCGACACAAATGGCTGGTGATTTTGACCCAGGAATATGTTCTTTGACTTGAGATTTCCATGGATTATCGGTTTTTGAAACCCCGTATGTAGATAATCTAATCCTCTAGCAATCCCCATCGATATCCTACAAATGACTGTCCATTTATGACATTCGTCTTCTTCATCTGCCAAAAATTTTGAAAAAAATTAGTATCTCAAAAAAGAAAAAACAGAAGGGTAGAAAATAAAAAAGATTACCTTTGATGAATTGAGCCAAATTTCCCATTTCGTAAAAGGGATGAACAAGAAGCTTTTCACCTCTACGCCCAGAATAGAACCCACAAAGAGGAACTAAATTAGGATGCTGAATTGAGCCAATAAGTTGTACCATAGGCATCAAATCTTGTACCTTTTCTGTACAAGTTGGTCTCAGGAACCTCAAACATACGATTGAATTATTCGTTGCCAAATTAGCTTTGTACAAAGTCCCGTATTTTGATTTCCCAATAACTTCACCAGGGGCATCGAGTATATCAGCACAAGTCAGATCTTCACCACCATTAAACCTTATTAAATTCCCATTTATTTCCATTTCTTTACTACTTTCAAAGCTTGATTCTGTGTCCCGAGATTCATCATTTCTGGACCCTTTTCTTCTACAGACACAAATCAAACCCAGGAAAATGAATACAACCAACGAAATTGATGAAGTCGCAATAAGAATAAGCTTGTGGCCCTTCTCCATGTGGGTATACGATCAAAAGCTCAAAGAATCAAGAACATTCAAACCCATAAAAAAGGGTAAAATGGCAATCGGTGTGGTGTCTAAAATGCTAGTTCGACATGGGTATATAATAAAAAGCTCAAGGAATAAAAAACAATCATATACCCATGTTCAGAAAGATCGAAACTTTTCAAGAAAAATACTATGATCCTTTTACCGTTCTTGATGAAGGTGAGAAATGCAGGTGCAATGAACAAGAGACATTCGGTTTATTCAAACAAGAAATAAGGATTGAGTGTAAGTTTATGGATATTCTCTATGTGGGTATATGATCAAAAGCTCGAAAATATTCAAGAAAAGTTGGAACTTGTTTAGGTGTTGTTGGAAGAAGGTGAAATTCGTTCACGGGTTTAAGTATTCTCACCCACTTTGGCTGATTTGAACAGATAAGAAATGTGGATTTTTTGGTGTCATGACAGAAATAGAAAGTGCTAATAATTCTGTTTGGAAGATGGACTTTCAGAAAAGAGTCTTCTGAAGAAAGAGGAAAGAGACAAGAGGAGGGATTCTTGACTAAAGAAGGAGATTGGAATGTCTAGTTTGAGAATAAGGTTAAGGAATCGGATTCAGTTTCAAGTTTCAAGTTTCAAGTTATCCAAAAGCCACAACATATAACTTAATTTGGTTTAGAGTCTCCATCTTTGAATTAATGATATCTTTAATTATATGTGCGATTTCAATCCACGTCTATTGACGTCGAAAATAAATGGTAAAAGTAAAACAAAGTACTTATTCATAATTCTATTGATTGAACATTTAATTGTTTTCTTTTCCATTAAGTTTTTCTTCTCTTTAAAATCGTTATTTTTATTATTATATAAATTTCACAATGTTCAAAACAATTTCAAAGACGTTATTGATTTTTGATGGTACAAAGTTTTTAAGCTATGACTATTTATGTTTAACAACATATTTTAGAAACTATGTCGTTTTTATGGTAATAACTTTTTAAACACGAGTTTCATAACATAAAACTTATTCATATTTTATATTTATTCTCAAAAAAGTAGCCACCATCTTAGAAAGTTTTTTCATCTCAAAGCCATTAGTTAATATTTGATATGTGGCTTCACAAAAGTCAATCATTTATAATAGCTATCAAAATAGATTGCATTGTTGGCAGGACCGTTCCAAACATATTTTGGGCCCAGGACGAAAAAAAAAAATAGATCCTTAAAATACACAAATGTCATCAAATTTTTTATAATAACTTCATAATCGAAAGAAAATTACTTGTACTATCTTTTAAATATAACAATTTTTATAAAAAAAAAAATTAAGTCCCTTTAAAAGATGAGCCCTAGACGGTCGTCCCTATCGCCCACCCTCTGGAATAGGCCTGATTGTTGGGAAAATATTTCGAAATTTGTATGTGATATTGATATATTACGGCCATAAATAACAATTAACCATTTTCTTCTATATCCGGTTTTTAAAATATAAAGATAATAAAAATAAAATGTGTAATTCATAAAACCAAATTAACATTACAGGAAAAGAAAAAAAAAAAGTCGAAGGGGATAAATAAGTCAATAGTTTCATTGGGAAATGGTGGTAAAAAGGTATTATAACACATTAACTTTCACTAAATATTAATTTATCCTTAATTCAAAAACTTATATCTTTATTAAAAAACACCTACAATTTGGAATTGAAATAATTTATAAAATAAAAATCTTAGTCAAATTGTTTAGTGGAGATTTGGATAGTATGAGGGTAGTTGGAGGCATGTATTTTAGGATGTTGGTTGGACAATATTCCGTTCAATAATCAATATGATTGTTGAAATGATCCCAATATATATTTCTTTTTTATCAATTTCAAGTTATATATATATATATATATATATATATATATATATATATATATATATATATATATATATATATATATATTGTTAAGTTCATATGAGACGGCCTAATTTTGTGAGACCGTGAGACGCAATCCTAGCCTCTCATTTATTAGATAAAACAAAAACATTTTTAAAATGCAAAATAAATACCAAAATAAATACAAAAAAAGCATTTTTTTACATATTTTAGTAGAATATTTAGAATATTCTATATATCGGGCAAATCTAGTAGAATATTCTAAAAATTCTAAAAATCATATTAGAATATGTACAGTGAAATATTCTATTAAAATATTTCATGTATATTTCAAAAAAATGGTAATTTTTTTTATTTATTTTTAGTTAAATTCCGAATAATTAAAAAAAGAATTTTTGGATTTTTCCTTTTATTTTACATTTTAAAATTATTTTTAGATTTGGTCTCACGGTCTCACAAAATTAGCATGGTCTCAAATGAACCTAAACCTATATATATATATATATATATATATATATATATATATAGGCTTTGTTAGGAACAATAAAATTGATGGTGTTTTGGCAGTAATATTCCTCCATTTATAGTGGTCTCTCATATTTTGGCTTTGTTGCTGTGCATTCTTTTTCTGGGTAGTTTTTTTCATTTTCTACAAACATTATCGAGACGTGTTTCTCACTTATTTTCTTCACCGATTTCCTAGTCAATCACAATTCGATTGTTGTTCCAACTCCACCGCTTTGAATCATCAACGGTAGGTCTAGACTCCACCTACATATATCATAATCATCTCTAATTAAAAATTTATAATTACAACTCCAAAGATGTTAAGCTAACCCCCTTACTAATTCTCGGAAAGGGTGAAAGACCATTTTACCCCTCCATGGTCTCCAAAGTCCACAACTTAACCAAACCCTAAAAGTTAACGGAAGTCAACACTTAAGTCAATAGCCCATGTTGACCCAACTCGTCGAGTGCATCTATTCGACTCGTCGAGTTCCTTCTGTTCTCAGAAAAATCGGGAAAATCCAACTCAACTCGCCTAGTTGTCTCACAAACTCGTCAAGTTTGTACAACGTTCAGTATATCGGGGAAAACCCTAATGAACTCGTCAAGTTGGCTAACCAACTCGTCGAGTTTCTTCAGCCTAAGTACTCATTCAGGCGTTTTTAAGCGAGATTAAGGCCCCAAACTCTAGATCTAGCCTTCTAAGGCTGAAATACCATGTAAAGTTGCAAGCTTGCCAAAACAAAACTCAATAAAGGGTTTAAGGCATGGAAGTTGGCCAAAGCTTTGATAAAGCTTGAGTCTTTAGGCCTAAGGGACCTAGTAGTGTCCAGATCTGAAGTCTCGTCTTCAAAGCATGCTCAAACAACCAAATGACTCAAAAAGAAGCTAGAAATGTCCATAAACTCTCTAATGGAGAGATCTAACAAAGACGTGATCAAGGTAATAACTTTTTTACCTCCAAAGACTCCTTGTTCCAAGTCCTTTACTCTTCAAGTTTCTTCAAAGAATGCAACAAAACCCACACTCTTAACCTTACACACTCTCAAAATGGAAGATAGCTTGATTAGAATTTGTCTCAGGGTGATAAGGTGATGAGGGAGGCGGGGTAAAGGTCTTAAGATCCTTTAAATAGGGTGCAAACCTTGAAAATTAGGGTTTTTCACACTCAGCTCCAACTCGTCCAGTTGGGAACTCCAACTCGTCGAGTTGATCCTAAAATCAACGCGGCCATCTAAATTTCTACTCGACGAGTTGGGGTCCTCTAACTCGTCAAGTTGCCCTATCAATATAGACATAAAACAATTTAATTTATACCTGGGAGTCAGGATGTTACAGTGGTTGTCTAGTGTTTTCTGACACGAGTGTGGCGTCGGCCTAGTAGGTTCCGGCCAAATAGTTGTGGTGTACGTGTGTTTTCCGGTAATATATGGGAGGGACGAGGGTGACAGTGAGGTGCTTAGAGGGTGAGGGATATGGAGGTTGGGGCCCACATATATTATTCAATAATTTTTTAGTAAGTTAATAATAATAAAAGCATTTAAAATAAAAAGGGCATAAATGCCATGTCATTTCAGCCCATCAATCCATTTGGCATGCCACCTCAGCAGGTTACCTGCTAAAAAGGTAAAATAGGGGTAAGTTGATTACAATAGTCGGTTTCTTGTCCTTTTTTTTTATTAATGAAGCTAGTTGTAAGACTCATGTATTACATTAGTTAATTTTAAATATATATATATATATATATATATATATATATATATATATATATATATATATATACTAGCCGTTACCCGCGCACAGCGGCGGGGACAAATAGCTTCGTTCAACGATTTTTTTTTAAAGAAAAATGTTATGTTCCAAAAGAAAGTTCATGTCGTGGGTGAGAGGAAGGGCGGTAGTCGTGATAGTGGTTGATTGAATGCGAAAGGAGGCAGAGCGGCTGTGGTGGTGGTGGTTATACTGTCTTGGTTACTGGTTAGGGTTCTTCGAGAGAGTGTGCATATATTTCTTATTTTGAAGGGATTACGAAGATAAATATTATGAGATTGTTTGTTACCAATGTGAGAGAAGAGATCCTCTATAAATTGTTGACATTGACCGCTTCAAATGGTTGAAGTGTTGAGATTGACGGGTTCAATTTGCAAATGAATTTTTCTATTAATTTGATACGAGATTTTTAAGGGATAAAGGATATGGTTAAAGTTTTAATATTATTATATTATAAATGGGTTGTACTTCAAGCTTAATAGTTTGGACGTCTTAAAAAAATAATATTATTATATTCAATCTATTTATAGAAATAGTTAGATTTCTTTTATAAGTAGTAAAGATATATATATATATATATATATATATATATATATATATATATATATATATATATATATATATATATAAGTCTAAATATTTGAAAGTTTAAATTTATAAGAAAAATAATAAATTGTTATAATGAAATTATTTTTTATCTTTTAAATTTAAACAAATAATTTAAAGAAATAAACAAAAAAGACAAAACAAAACTAATGAGCGTTAATTTTAGAAAATTTGAAATTAAAAAGTAAAAAAATAAGTTTATTAATGAAATTGATATCTCTTTATTACTATATTACAATTATTATATTAAACTATTATATGAAATTTAATAAAATAGAAACACTCATAAAATAACATATGAAAAAAAATTTAATATAAAATAATCACAAAATAACATTTAACAAATTGAATGAGAATGTGAAAAAAAAAATATATGACCAATACTAATTGATTTATGACCAATCATAATTTCGTTCCCCCTTAAGTCCATTAGTTTCCTTAACCCAAAACTCAACTATCATACATTTGACAGTTTATACCCATTTATTTAATTAATCTCTTTTGATCACCAAATTAACCCCTAATTGATTTATGACCAATACTAATTAAATAAATATTATTTCTCCTTTAATATATTATTCTTATAATATATTAACAAACCATAATATTCTCTCTTTCTCCTTAAATTACCTTGTCAAGTTGCTTTGGAGAAGGCAACCCAAAAGGACCATGCACAACCGGGTCAAGTACATACCAAATATAATTATGGACTTAGACACTATTCCAACACACATGAGTTCTACAAAGCACAAAACAAGCAGCATTCAGGCATTGAGCAACCTCCACCAGCTCATGAAATCACTCTAGCATACAACTTCGATCGCTCTATTCACAACACAAAAGGCATCACCGAACTCATGCAATCCTGCCTCTCAACTCCTCGGAGATCTCTAATTATACATATGTAATACTACCAGTTCATATAATAGGCATAAAGGCATCTCTCCTAAGCAGACACACTAGCATGAAATTCTGAGCAAATCCCTATCCCTAAATTAACATGCAGTTCTATCAGGTCATAATAACAACACATAATCAAGAGTATTTTGGGAAATGACCGCTCAGGCTCTAGATGATTGTAGACACTGCTTCATCTCGTTTCCTCTTAAAATCGTTTTCTCGTTTAGAAAATCATTTTTTTTTTTGAAAAATTTATCAAATCCTCAGTTTGAGTCCAGACATATCCGATGGTACATTTGAATCCCTCAAACCAAGGCTCTAATACCAACCAACTTGTAACACTCTAAATTCTCAAATAAAAATTTCACCCCCTCCTTCTAATCCTCCCCTTCCCAAGAAGCAACTGCAGCTCCATCACTCTATACGACACTTCAATTCCTCATTTACTTCAATTTTGTCAAATCTCATTTCGCTTATCTCGAAAATTCAGAGAGAAAGTATTTGCGTAAATCACCATCGCCAATGAAGATAATGCCTGAATTTGGTGGATTTTATCACTGTCGGTGCTTTCCTAATCGCCATAACCGGCGCTGAAGATCCATACAGTATCAAACAATGGAATGTCACATATGGCGATATCTATCCACTCGAAGTTTGTCAACAGGTCGATATATATCCAATCACTCAATAAGTTTACTCTAATCAACATTTTTTACGTTTGATTTCTCAATTTTGTGTTTAAAAAAAAAACTTACTAAAAGTTTCATCTTAATAGAAACAGTTAAATTGTCACACACACACATACACATTAACTAGCAGAAAGAATTTTCAATGATGATTAACACAGACATTAAAAAAAAAAAAAAAAAAAAAAAAAAAAGATAAACAAACAATCTGAAAATAGGTTTTTTATAAAGTTACCGAAAGGATTGAAGTCTGGGATTGAGTGGACGATTTTTTAATGTGATGATTGAAGAGCTTGGAAAGACGATGATGTAAAGGAATGATTGATATCATACATATGAAGTATATATAGAGCAGAATACGATCAAATTGACCTAATAATTAAAATTAAATGTAATAGATATCATATCTTATATATGAAATCAGATTTGATAATAAGATGCTCTTAATAGGGTGGAGTGACTTTTGTTTTGATGTCTGGTGCAGGGTATTTTGGTCATTTTTTGTCTCTTTGTAGTGTATACATGTACGCAATTTATATTGGCAAGGGTATTTTTGTCCTTTTTTGTTTTGATGTCTGGTGCAGGGCATTTTGACTGCATATTGGTCATTCTCAACCAGCTTTGGACCCATTTTAACATATTTTGACTGCAATTTTATCTCATCACAACTCCTCCAAGATTTTGTATTTGAATCATAAATGTCAAAATATAAAATGGGTCAAGAGAGATGAAGCAAATAATTCATTGGAGTACAGGAGGAACTTAGAACAAAGATTGGATAAGCAGTAATCGAAAAGTGCTAAATAAGTCCCTGATGTTACTGGTTTGGCAATTTTGACCCTTGTTGTTGCTTGATCTTTTTTTTTTTTTTTTTTTTTTTGAGGATTTAAGCAGCAATAAAACAAAGTATTTATAGGAGTTGCAACATTGTGAAACTATATTGCAGCCTTGACAAGTGTATTGATCTCTTTTTAGACGAAATTAGAGTGATTTTGTATTTGTCTCTTTCAAACCTTCATTGCTACCATTTTTCATAACATTTAAATTTCAAAGAAGAAACTGAAATACCTTTTTCTATAAGGTTGGTGAGGGCATTTTCGTCGTTTTCACATTGTTTCCTCTTGTTACAAATTCAATTCACAAGAAAACAGATTTCGAAGAATGCATATATATATTGGCGATGGCATTTTCGTCCTTTGAACATACTTATAACATGAAAAAGAAAAGTACAATGCCTTAATATGTAATTTTTTGGAATTTTATTGCACAAACCTTTTTTTTGTACTGTACTGTTTCAAAACGTTTTATTTTCCTTCGGTTATTGCGCGCGCGCGCACACACACACACACACACACACACATATATATATATATATATATATATATATATATATATATATATATATATATATATATATATATATATTGGCGATGACATTTTCGTCCTTTGAACATACTTATAACATGAAAAAGCTAAGTAGAATGCTTTAATATGTAATTTTTTTCGAATTTTATTGCATATATATATATATATATATATATATATATATATATATATATATATATATATATATATAAATATATATTGATAGTAAAAGTCTTTAAAAACATATTTGTATGTGCAGGTAGAGGAGGATGTGCTACTTACGATATTTGAGATCAAAGCCTCATCAACTAAAAATACTTAAAATAGTGCCACAGAGAGTCAAGATGAAGCTGCAAATACCATTTTTCGTCCTTTGCAAATATCATTTCTTTTTCATTGTCCTGTATTGTTTAGAAACATATTTGTTTCCTTCTTTTATTGCATTTATATTGGAGATGACATTTTTGTACTTTGAACATACTTATAACATGAATGACATTTCGTCCTTTGCAAATAATTTTTTTTGTCATGTACTGTTTAGAAACATAGTTGTTTCTTTCTTTTATTGCATACATACTTTTGGAGCGGACATTTTCGTCCTTTAAATATACTTATAACATAAAAAAGAAAAATACAATGCCTTAATTGGTAAATTGTTTGAAAAACATATTTGTTTCCTCCTGTTACTCATATTCTTCCTTTGAACATAATTACAACATGAAAAAAATAAGTACAATGCCTTAATTGGTAAATTAAAAACAATTTGACTGGTGCAAAAATGACATTTCACATTGTTTCATCTTGTTACACATTCAATACACAGGAAAACAGATTTCGAAGAATGCATGCATCGGTTTCATACCCCAAGAATTTACCATTTTATTTAATTTCTTCATATTTGATATATCTTTTCTCATATCGAGAAGATATACTTATAAAAGGAAGAAGAAAAGAACACACATATGCCACACACATATTAAAAGAAGAATATTCTAATTACAATCATAACCCAAAAAGCAGTCTTTACTTAAGATAGAGAATAACAGCGAAAATAAACCAATAAGTATCAATGTTGGAATAGCGAACACCATGATGACCAATACTACCAAAGAGAATCCGAAAAAAAAAAAAGCTAATTCAAGAATATTGTTGATTCAAAAATAACAATCTGAAATTACTTTTCGAGCTTTGGTATTAATAGACATGTGTTGTCATCCACCTTTGAATTCAATCGAGGTACCTTGGTGGACGAATATTACTGAATGAAAGATACACAAGCAGATGGCAAACATTAATTGGTAATTTAAAAACAGTTTAAGAATATTACCGAAAAAAAGCTAATCCAAGGTTTTTATAAAAAGAAAAGTACAATGCATTAATTGGTAATTTAAAAATAGTTTAAGAAGATGGTAATTTAAAAACAATTTAAGAATATTACTGAAAAAAAAAAAAGCTAATCCAAGGCTTTTATAAAAAGAAAAGTACAATGCATTAATTGGTAATTTAAAAACAGTTTAAGATGGCAAACAAAATATTACTGAATGAAGGATACACAAGCAGAACTTTAACCTAAATAATATAATGAAGAACTGGAGATTAAGAAGATGGAAAACACAGGCTTTGGTTGGTAAAGAAAAACACAATTAATAAATTTGAGTCGTAATGACTAATCTAATATTTGAAAAAAAAAATTAATAAAACATACTAATGGGTGTTTAGGAGTGTTTTTTTAAAATGACTTATTAAACCCCATCATAACTATTCCTTTTTGAAATTCATATTGTTAAGCTTTGAATGGAAAATAGGGAAAACAACAGATTAATCAAAAAAATTAAGCTAAACTTCAGGAGCGTTGTAGTCACACGTTGGAAAAAAATCTAGAAAAACATGAAGCGAAAGGTTATACAATAGCCTATAGATCTGCAAATATATTACCGAAAAAAAGCTAGTCCAAGGTTTTTATAAAAAGAAAAGTAAACCAATATATAGAGAATAGCAATAGCCTATAGATTTGCAAATATATAGACACGACATTGAAAATTTCACAATAAACATCACCCATTATATGTGGTTTACTAAATCTCAGGTTACAAACTTCAAGCTTTTACGATTAATATTGGTTTCATGAGCGCAAGGATACAAATCCTATATTTGAATATTAAACCTTAAATTCGTAAAAATCCAGGCAGGGGTAGGGGTATATACGGTGATTGAATATTCGATAATTGAAGTGTCTATCCAAGGGGTTAACCTCGCCATGTTCTGTCCTTCTATGGGAAACAGGCGCTTACATATACACATTGAGAATCAGAAACTTACCGAAAGGATTGAAGTCGCTGATTAAAGTCGCTTATTGAATATCCGATAACTGAAGTGTTGATGATGCAAAACCTTGGAAAGACTGATGCTGTAGAGAAAGTTGAAGTCGTATGTTTCAAGTATATATCGAGTATAATACGTTCAAACCTACGTAATAATCAAAATTAAATGTAATCGATCTGATTGTTATGGATACCATAATAACATGCTCTTAATCGGGTATCTAATGAAATTGAGTTAATGTGTACAGCTGTTATTTGCAATTAAAATTGAATCAAGACAGGGCGTTATATGGTTTCCATATTCAATTCGATATCCATATTCTATATTCCATATTTCCATATCGAATCCTACATGAAACAAAGAAGGGGTAAAACCGGTATTTTACATTGGCAGAAAACTGAAGTTTTGAAGGGACACGTGGACATATGGTTTTGTTTATTATATATATATATATATATATATATATATATATATATATATATATATATATATATATATATATACACTAGGTGTGAGTCCCATGTATTACATGGGTGTATTTAAAACAATTAAATATGTATAAACATTTGAGAAAATTTGAATTTATAAGAAAAATAAGAAACATATTGAATAACTAAAATTAAAGTATTTTTTTCTCTTTTAAATTTAAACAAATCATTTAGATAAAATAATCAAAGCAAATTAATGAAATTTTATATTAAAATTTTGAAATTATAAGGAAAGTCAATTAATGAAATTAATATGTATTTATTATTAAATTTAAATATCATATGAAACTTAATAAAATAAGAAAACCACAAAATTACATATGGAATAAAAATTAATTCAAAATAACCACAAAATTACATGTGGCAAAATGAATGAGAGTGTGACAAGTGGCAAAAAAAACTTTCATTTATTAGAGAAGATATATATATATATATATATATATATATATATATATATATATATATATATATATATATATATATATCAGATACCTATATGTGAAACCCTCTTCTGCACCGTTAACCTATCCACGTGTACGAGAAACTTCCCTGTTTGCATGCTTAAACTCCTTTCAGCTCCAAATACTGGGATTGAAGAAACGGTATCGTTTGGTGCTGAAAGCTGCCATCCTGCTTGCTTCCAATCAGCCTGACATCACGATGATGAAGAAGACGTGGTGGTGGGTTTTACTTGTTGGCAGTGTCGTTTCTCCCGATGCTGCTTGCCACTCTTGGATCTTCTTTAATCGACACCTCTCCTTGATTGCAGCCGACTCGCCATCCTACCATAAAGAGAAAAAGCCCTAAATCAGGTACCCACATAATTTCTTCTTCTTCTTTCTACGATTCCAAAACATCATATTTAGGAGCCGACGTAGCTTATTTGTTAATATGAACTTGTGAGATTCTCATGATCGTGCACTTTCCACCGCCTCTATTTCCAATCGTCACATCTACCTTGAAGCTTCTCTGTGTATACAAAACCTAATTTTGAATTTCTATTTCTCTTTCCCAATCGCAAGTAGGTATCTCTCCGTTCTTTATTAAAAAAAACTGCAATTATTTTTTTGGTTTTGCACATAAGCTTCTTAAAATCCATCATCATTCTCTTCGAAAAACCAATTCAGTTGCCTGCTTGCTTCAGGTCATCCTGACCTCTCGCTGATGCTGGAGACTTCAAAATTAAATAAGATCCATTCACCGCCACGTCTGGTTGAATGTGGCTGAGACACCCTCTCCGATTTCATCTGTACGCCATGCCGACTCTATCTTTATTCTCTATTTAATGTTTGTATTATTGCCATGTCGACTCCATCTTTATTCTGTATTTAAGGTCCGTATAAATTCATATGTTTTATTTATTGTTTTTATAATCCAGGTTTGTATTGCTTACTTTTCGTTTCATTTTTGAAATATAGGTTCTGTGAGTTGCCATCGAAGCCAAGTTAAGCTAATTTGGTAACGATATTTGCAGGGGAGTGGGAAGACCTCTCTAATTTGTGAGGTTTGTGTTTAGTCTCTCTTTCCCCTCTCTCTCTCTCTCTCTCTCTCTCTCTCGAAGAAAACCCAACCTCATCGCCTTCAATCGCCCAACGCCATGGGTGAACCTGAAACTTCTCAAAGCAAAATTTGATGCACCACAAAGAAAGATACGGAGAATTGAAGACGGTTATCACCAAAGAACATATGGAAGCGGCTTTTTCTAAAACTTTTACGCCATCCGAGGTAAATCCATATCTCTTTATGTTCGATTCATTATAATAATCGTATTTTTTTGTTGCGTGTTTTACTATCCACCAGGTTATCACCATGATATAGTAGGATTTCCGAATTTAAGGTTACTTTGTAATAGTCCATATTTGAGGTTTCAGTGTGACAATTGACGCAAAAGAGGGTTTGTTTTTCTGCAAGTTAACATGTATTAAAAACTAATTAATTACCTACATGCTTTTCACACCTAACGTACTCTGTTCAGCAACCTTATCTCTCCTAAGAACTCTATCAGATCACTTCATCCCTTTCTCTCCCACCTGCTTTAATGTCGCTTTTTCCTTCTTGTGTAACTGAATGCATACATAAACACTGCCAAAACCCTAGGTAATCAATTTATAGTGTTTTGTTCATATATACTTTATATGTGTAAACAATCATAAACAAAGGCACGATATATCTTTAGGATAAACAAATTCATTTGGTTAAAATTTGTTTTTCACTGTTTTGAAGTTGAATCTACATGGAAGGTTTTGACTTTAGATGGATGGTTCTAATGCAAAGTTTTATCTAAAATAATAATAAATAAATGAATCCTTAATAACATAGGGAGAGAAAGTAAAAAAGGTGCCAATGCAGCTAAAAGATGCAGGGCACTGAGCAAAAAAATTGTCTTGACAGATGCTGTTAAATGTAATTATCTATGGGATGAGCAAATTTCATGACATGTTTTTCCTGATTTTACTAAGTTATGCTTCCATACCAAGCCCCAGAGACAAAGGAAGGTAAGAAAATGTTATCGGTCAATGAATTCAAACAAAGCAAATGTGAATTACTAGCATCAATATCTATAATTGCTTAATGGTTTATGTTATAATTGGCTTTGCACAACCATGTAGTTCACTATTGAAATCACATTTTATTGGCTGTCAAGATTACATGACCCTTTACATACAGTTGTGGATGCAAGTATTAAGGAATGAGAAACCACCAAAGTTTTTAGTTTTTATACTATGTGACAGGCTAAAACTTTTGTTTATTTATAATTTCCCCCCTACAGTTTCTATATTAGCAATAATCCAATTCAAATGTTAAAAGAAAGGTTTTGATACATCATGTATAGGTTTTTGACATTTTAAAGGGGTTGTGCCAATATTAAGAAGAATTTGTTTGAATATTATAAAAAATTGAACACTAGCTATCACATATCATCACGTACCAGTAAGGGTTCATTTTAATCATATTATGCATGTATGATTAATTTCATTAAACGTTTTTTTGTATGCAACAAAATAACAAACATATATATTATATATATATATATATATATATATATATATATATTACTTTTTAAGTTTTATTTACACGTTTATGTATTTACTATGTTAATTCCTATTCGTTGGTACTTTCGACAAATATTTATCCGTCAGTAATGCCCCTGATTTTAGCAGCGTTGTGGCTCTAATGAACCAAATCTTGGATCCACCATTGTTTATATACATTCAATTATTTAGTTAAAAGAAAAGTGTAAATGTAAAAAAAAAGATAACAATGTACTTTCATTTACTTGTGTATTATAGCATGCTACTTTCATTTCTTTCCATTACAATAATGGATTATATATATATAGTTATTACGTACACTTTTCGAAGCACAAAGTTTTAATTATACATAAATTCAAAGTACGATGTTATATTTAGGTAATTTTACAAAGTATAATGCCTAATAGGAGAGAACTATGAAACGCAATGGTATAATAAAAAAAATAAAAAAATAAAAGTAGGATTATATAGTAAAGATGTTTATTATGTTCAGCCTTAGTATAATTACTCACCTTAGTTAAACAAATATATTTAGGGACAACATATGTTCGGTTGTCACAGTAAGAAGCGGTCTCTCCTTTACCTCATGTGATGTATATTTGTGTTGTATTTTTCTGTTGTGGTAAATGAGTTCCTATATAATCTCTATGCAGATGGTGGTTTTTTTTTTGTGGTGGAGTAAAGTACTTTGACCGACTTATGAAGAACCAAATTAATGAGATGGGAAAGGCAAACTACTCATACAAAAATCAAAAAATTAAGAGACTGAAGGTAGGAACTTCACTCTGTTAATAATTTTTTTTTATATATATTCAATCCTTCATAAATATTGTTGTTTTTTATTATTATTATCTGCCTATGTTTGTAAAACGTGTGTAAACACAAGAAGAGAGATTGGATGACATCCGTCTAAAAGATATGCCAAAACGCTTGAAATTGATAAGATGATAGCCAATTTCATGTTATGTACATATTTTAAAAATTCATTCCTTTTCTCTTTAATTTAAGTTTTTACCATTCCCTGATAGATAAAAAAAAATGGTAATGGATAATAGAATCAAACGGGGTCAAACGATGTGTAATAAAAATTGGAAATCATTATTAGAAAACAAATAATCTTTTTTGATTTGTTATTGAATGACATCCTTATTTTGGGATGTACTAAGTTACATATTAACCATGGATTTCTCAATTCCAGTCCATGTAAACTTTTAGAATTGTGGTGATTTGTTTCTTAAGTTATAGCATACACCCGTCAATCCACTAATTTGAATCTAGGTATAAATCCTACATCTTGATCGTTAGGTAAAAAGTCAAATGACGCCTCTAGGAGTTTTAACCAAATCAATTGGCTATTAGGCGACAAGAACAAGGGTAAATATGTAAAATGGACTTATTTTTTTATGATTGTTTTTATCATATTTATTGTTTAAGCCATCTTTTTATACCCTTTCTGATTGAACACCACTTTACACATATGACCCTGGAAACTTGGAGTGGTGTTGGTCTTTTTTTCTATTTACCAGGTTTTTTTTCCACTTCAAAAACATTTTAGTTGGTTACAATGTGTCCAATTTATGATTTTAGTAATAAATCATTTCCATTTTATTATCAGGGAACCCGGACCGAAGGGTATGGCATGCCCAACTAAAAATTGGCACGGCAGGTTTAAGGTCCTTATATAACAGTATATTATATATTCTCCAGGTTGGGAGCGTGCACCACATGTTGCAATATCTTTGTGTAGTATTTTGACAATGTGAACGATCATTTATATGTTTTGCAACTATTAATGGAAAGCTTCTTTCTCTTAACTTGGAGTTAACTCAATTGTGTTCCTATCAAGGCATTCTACTATGGAAACCTGCATAATTATAGCATAGTACTTTCGTTTTGTTGCTCCACTTTAACAATAAGCACGGCCCTAAAAACCTCACTAGTAAGCATATACGATAGATGGGTTAGGGTTTCTAATATCAAGCCCAAAATAACCCCCCACGTGCCTTACATAGAAGTTAATGATTGAAACTCAAAGCTTACCTCTTGATCTCTATATTTAAAAGCTATTCCATTAAATCTAAAATTATGACATCAAAGAAATTAAAACTCAAAATCGAAAATTATGGACTCAAAGAAATTAAATTGTGATTTCTGTTAGGAGTTCATATATGATATGGATTGGAGTGATCTTCGGTAACGATGATGTGGAAAAGTTTAATACCTCGCTTGTCTTCCCATCATAAGCATCAATCCATTTTCCTCCAATTAGACCTTTGGTTCGCCATAATCCAGAACTCTTGAGCCTATCAACAATACTTTCTGTTTCCGTGCTCATCTGAGCCATCCGAGACTCCATTTAGTGAATTCATGAATCTATCCAGAAACCCTAAAAAAAATAATAACGATTAGAGTAATCAGTAATGCACCTGGCGACGAAGAAGATGTGTGAGATTGAAGAGTGGTGAAATTTGATCTTGTTGCTGCTACAATGAATTGCTCGTGAAAACATCGTCGTTATCATGGTGTATGGCTTCTAAAAACGAAAAACCCTCTTCTACCACCACGTATTTGACACCTTTGTACAAAAGGCAAAAGATTCAACTTCTAGCACACCACTTATTGCTTCTCCTTACACCAGTTGGATGATACAATTGATAACAAAAAAAAATTGAAATCCCACCAAATCCCTTCTGTCACAAAAGGCTACTCATCGATCAAATTTCTACGGAGAATGAAGCTCAGATCTAATATGTAAAAGTCGGCAATGGAGAGATGAGAGGGAAGAGGCGGATGTTTTTTTTAGTCCTGGATTCCATCGATTAGGGTTTAAAGGAAAGCGAGAGAGAGATTTTAGGAGTTAATAAAAAATAAGATAAAACCTAATGAGTATAGTACCTTTTAAGTAATTAGGAAGTTACAGTTTAATCCTATGATTTTCAAAATTTATATAAATGGACCGATAATATTAACCTTTGATTTTAAAATTTAGAAGCCTTAGATCTGCTCTCGCGTTCTCAACCTTTTAAGTGTTCTCATTTGATCCTACTCATATATATATATATATATATATATATATATATATATATATATATATATATATATATATTCATCAAACATATAAACCAAATTTCGTTTCCTATTAGAAATAAAAAAATATCTATTAGATTCATCAAACATATATATCAAACATATATATCAGATCCACCAATATATATATATATATATATATATATATATATATATATATATATATATATATATATATATTCATCAAACATATAAACCAAATTTCGTTTCCTATTAGAAATAAAAAAATATCTATTAGATTCATCAAACATATATATCAGATCCACCAAAAAATATATATATATATATATATATATATATATATATATATGTTTGATGAATCTAATAGATATTTTTTATTTCTAACAGGAAACAAAATTTGGAGTGATAGAGTTTGAGTTGATTTTGTGGTAACACATAAAGTGTCTTTTTTAATCTTATTATGATGATGAACTTGAGTTGATTTTATGCATGAACTTGAGTTGGAGAAATTCATAACACATGAATTACCATTTTGTGAGATCATTAAGGCTTTTGATTTGATGCTTGAAGGTGAAGCTCTCTCATGCATAATTCGGATGAGTGAATAATTTTAATGTTATCGTATGCCTACAATGTTATACCACACTTTGGTATAAAATTTATATTTCGATCAAGTTTCATAAATTTTTGATTAATATTTATATTTCTATCAAGTTTCATAAATTTTTGATTAATAGTATATTTTAAATTAATATTACATGTATTAAATAATTTTGATTTTTTTATTAATAGTATACTTAATAAAAAGATTCTTGAGCATTGGAGTAAAATGGTAATTTTGCATCATTCAGCAAATTCAGTCAGATGTATAATCAAACAGCGTAGTTTCTTACTCGGTCAAAATTTATTACTCAGCCAGATATTTCTCGGTCAACGCTTTCTCATTCAGGAACTATCAAATGGGACCTATACCGGACCACAACGTGGTGATTGCCTATCGCTACGCGGGCCACGTTATTAAGTAGCAGCGTAGTCATGCATCTCGGTCGCGACACGGCGCTGCTGAAAAGTAAAAACCTTAATCATTAGGTTTTGGTCTATATTTAAAGGCTCTAATCCCTAAGGTTTGTCATTTTGAGCAGCCTCCATATCTGAAACATTTTCCCGCCTAAAACCCTAGCCTATGTTATTGGATTGCGAGCTTTTGGTAATGAGAAAGAAGCTAGATTGGTGCATTGGAGTGTGGTTCCTTGAAGATCCAACAAGATAATCTTCTTCTGGAACTTTTATAAATGAAAAAACTTCCACCTTTATATTTCCTTTGTGTAGATCTTGCGTGTTCTTGAGGTTTTGGTCATTTAACCTCATGATTCTTGGAGTTTGGGCATCTCTAGAATCTTAGGATGATTTGTGTATGATTTCTAAACCATTGAGTGATAGAAAGTTAGGGTTTGAGATTTTGTTAGAGTGGACTTGGAGAATGGATAAAGTTGGAAACTTTGTTCATGCAAAATCAATAGAAGGACCGGTTGACCATTGACCTTGACTAGTTGATCGTTTATTGTTGACTTTGAATGTTAACTTTTTGATTAGTTTGACTTTTGGTTAAACTTGAGGTTTTGAGTTGTAGACTATGGTTTGACCTCAAAATGGTTTACGTGGTCCGTGTAGTTGATATTGTGAAACGTCGAGTAGTTGGGATTTCAGCTATTTGATTTAGGTGAGTTTCCTCATTATACTACGTATGACATTATGTGTCATGGTATGTTAGATTGTCTTTATGACTAGACCTGTTAATGGGGCAGGTTTTGACCCTGATTCGCTCCAAACCCATACGAATTTTATGGGTTCAGATTTTAATTTTATATTTGTTTACTCGTTTACGACTTACGCTCGTTTACCCTTTTTTACATTATGTAATTTTACTATTATAAAAGTTTCAGGTTAATGAGTTGGGTATTCGTTGATTCGGTGGTTACGAGAATGGATTTGGTTATTCACAACCTAAGAGTTATTAGAACGGGGTGAATCATGTTTTCAATTTTTTAAAAGGGTTAGATTAAGGGTTATTCGCTCCAAACTTATTTCATTGACAGGTCTATTTTGTGACCTTTTGTATGAAAGATGATGGAGCCCATAGCAAATTTATGAAAGAGTATGGAGGCATATCACTTGCATGAAAGACTATGATGATTTCATACCATTTACATAGGTATGCGATATTTTAGGAAACTCATTAAACTTTGTACTTAGTAGTTTAAATTTAAATATTTTAGGTTGTTCTAGCAGTAAGGGAAATGACAAGACTTTGGATGCATTGCATCCATGGATATATTTTGGAGACTTCCGCACATTTGATTTCACTATCTTTTATTACATTGATTTTGATTATGATTCGTCAAAACTTGAACAATAGTTATTTATCTATCTTTTGGGAATAAAATTGGAAGGGTTGCTTTTAATTAAAATGAAAATTTTAATTTGAAATGTAGGGCGTTACATATTAGATATTCAAACGACAAGTAAACAATTCAAAAACTCGAAGAAAAGTAAATAAGACAATAATTACATGGTTCATGTGATTAGGATAATTATGTTATGTTCGCTAACAAACAAATCTCGAGGTCCATATGCAATTATATTGTGCTCTATATATAGAGTTAGGTAGAGAAAAATAAAATTACTCTAAAGAGTGTGTAACACTAAGAATGTTCACCCTTTGTTTGATGTTTATGTTATTCACCAACGTTATTGGAGTCCAATTTGGGACATCTTTGACCTCTACCACCATAGTCTCTACAACTCAACAAAAATGCAACATTCATGCTTTTTCTATGGAATTTATGTTTTATCTCTCTACATAAATATGAAATATCATTAGGTGGAGTAATAAATGAGAATACATCACACAAAGTTCTTATAAGGCGACATGTTCTTTCCATGACAGCCCTTTTCTTGACCTACTATCCGTAAATACTTGCCGACCTTTCGCAAACACAACTCATTTTTTCAGTCTAATTTCTTAGTTTTGTAATTTCATGATATTCAACTTGTCTTCATTCTAACACTCAATCAAATCTTATAGTTGGTACTTGATACTCCACAACATATAAAGCATCATGAACAAATTATTCCATAAAAAATAGAAAAATATAAATGTTAGACGATCTTATACTCATGATTTTTCTGATGTGGTTTTATTTAGAAGTGAAGTTGAAACAAGATACTGAATAGCGATGCCTATATATGCACCTCAGACCAAGGCTTTTTAGGAATTTGCACAATGACACCACACAGCTCTAAGCACCTTAAATTCTTTGATGCTCCTCTTCTCAGAACTTTAGTGTGTGTGTATATATATAATAAGTAAATGGTTGTGTTACCTCTTGCAGCGCTTCTGAGGTTTAAAGCGGAAATACAAAAAAGAAAGTATCTTGAGCATCAGTCGATATGGAGAAGCTCCCGGGCGACGTTTTATCAAATATATTCATCCGCTTATTAGCGAAACAGCTTACTCAAATGAGACTCGTGTGTAAAACTTGGAATGCTCTCTTGTCTGAATCCTCCTTTATAAAATCTCACCTCCATCATTCAATCCATAACAACAACAAGAAGAAGAAGAAGAAGAAGGATGAGATTCTTTTGTTCTTTGAGAAGGCGATTATTGACTATTTTTCTAGTACAGGTCCATTAACAGCACGCTCCTGTGGTTCTCCCCGTCTGGAAGTCAGTAATTTCATGAAACTTGAACTCCCAATTGATCCCCAACATGAAAAGCAAAAGCCTATGATCAATGTGGTTGGGTCTGTGAATGGCTTAATATGCTTTTCTTACGTATCAAAACATGGTTATTTCATTCGCATTTGGAATCCTTCTCTCTCGGCATCGTTAACTCTCCCGCGTTCTTCTTTGTCGGACCAAACCCATCACCCGTATGTGTGGTTTGGTTTTGATCCGAAAACTGATGATTACAAAGTTGTTGAGGCGAGTTCATCTTTTTTCTTCCTAAAACCAGCCGACAGGAAAACATAACCACATCCACAAGCTAGTTGATGTGTATAGCATGAGAAAGGGTTCCTGGGAGTCAGCATCCCAAAGGATTCCTTCCCACATCAAAATGTTTTTGTATCGAGACGATGTTTGTGTGGATGGGCGTATTCATTGGCTTTGTGTTACTGATTTGGAGGGGAACCCACGAACAATAGTGACATTTGATTTGGGTGCAATGACATTGGGTGATGAGATACCTCTTCCTGATTCTATAATAGATTGTGGTAGGTAGTGCATGTCTGACTTGGGAGTTTTGGGTGGAAAGCTTTGTGTGATGTCACGTTGCGTTAAACATTATGAATGTAACGTGTGGGTGAGGGATGATAGGGATTCATGGGTGAAACATCACTTATATATGCACAAAAGTTTTACCTTGTTTAACATTTTGACATATTTTTTTTTCCTAAACTAAGTTGGTGGCATTTATAGTTTCAATCTCTACTGCTCTTTCCCACAAGAATTATATAATAAGCGTCTAACCTTATTAATGTAAATTAGTTATGATGGCTATTCAAGGAATTAATTTGTTTCATTTTCTTCTATACCTATATATAATGTCTGATGATAAAAATTTAACTTACTGTTTTTAACAATACTAATGTATGACTATTGCAATCTCGGTTAAGTACCAATTTAGATAGATGATAAAAACCCTACTTTGTCAAAACACTAAAAGGTTTGTAGATTATATTATATTGTTTAACTCCTGAACCACAAACGTTGAGATGGATCCATCTATTATTCATTATAGAAAAGGCAGCCAAAAAAGGACTCTTGTAATTGTCAAAAAAATGAAGTCAAAATTATGTACAAACTACTGATAACAGCTAAAAATGGGTCCTAATTCTTGCTTTTAGAGGGCACAAACTAGAAGTATGTTACCAAAATCCAAATGATACAAGCAACACTTCCTTGTTCACGTGTAGCAAGTATTCAATTACATTATGCAAACAGCTACCTAGCTGCACAAAACAAAATCTCACACGGAACAGTATGAATATATATATATATATATATATATATATATATATATATATATATATATATATATATATATATATATATATATATATAGGGGAGAGTTCAATTGAGAAAAAAAAAAGGTTGAGAATGGGGGAATCATTCTCAGCCAATCATTTATTTTTGCCGCAAAATCCTCCATTGTACCGGAGGAAATGGGAAACGAATGCACATGTGTTTTCCAACACATGTGTTTTCCAACATAACATATTTCCTTAAACTATGCTAATCATTACCTTAATATATACAAAAACATAGTTTTTTTCGTTTTTTTTTAAATTTTTATAAGCTATTTTTATCAAAAAAAATGATTTTAAATATACAAAAATTCATGATTTTTTATTCTCTACAAATAGACATCCATATTGATATAGTTTTAAGATAAAATATATATATATATATATATATATATATATATATATATATATATATATATATATATATATATATATTTATATTTTCAGCTATCGTTATTCATAAGTGAATAAAAATGAATCAGGTTTTTACTACAGTACATTCGTTATTCAGTTATGAATAAAAACTATAATTAATTTTTTTTTACAATTTAAATATCATTCATATATGAATATAGCATATAATAAACATAATATATTCATATTTAAATATTAGACGATGCATTCACTTATGAATATTACATAGTATATTCACTTATGAATATTAGATGGTATATTCACTTATGAATATTAGATAATATTTTCATATCTGAATATTACATAGTATTACATGGTATATCACATGTGAATATTACATAGTATATTCATTTGTGAATATTATATGATATATTCACTTATGAATATTACACGGTATATTCACATATGAATATTACAAGGTATTTTCACAAATATATATAATTTTTATATGTTATTCACATATGAATAAAATACAGACTTGCATATTTGTTTTTTTGTTTTAATAATCATATACTGAGAAAACATATTCATATATGAATATAACGTGGTAATTTAGTTAATGCATTTCATCAAACAGTTGGAGTGCATACAATTTAACTATTTTTAAAAATGTTAAAAACATGATATTTTGACCATTTAAATCTTATAAAAAAGTTGATTGATAGAGAATTATATGAAATCTTTCAAAAAAAAACGATTTGATATTTTTCTAACCTCAATTTTCAAGTTTTATTTGATAATCGATGTTGAATGAATGATATGAAGTAGATTTTTGTTGATTATCAATGATGTTGATCTAATAACGTTGGGAGTATAATTAATCATAGATGTTGAAGATCTGATCGTATTCAAGCACAATTGAAGGTTGAATTAAAAGAACCAAAAACGAATTTTTGTTGTTAACTGTTGAATCGTGTTGATTATTGACAAAGATCGATGATTGATTAACACTGGATGATGTTGATGATGGTTTAATTGAAGAAATCTAAATGATTGTTGAAAGTTAAAGAAGAAATTTGGATGATGAACGATGAATGGATTTGAACTATAGATACGTATTGGAGATTGAAAGTTGTTCTCATATTTACAAGTTTACCACCGTGTCTTTTTATGCTTGAATAAAATGAGGCTGAGAATGATTCCTCCATTCTCAACCTTTTATATTTTCTCAATTGAACCCACATATATATATATATATATATATATATATATATGTATATGTATATGTATATGTATATGTATATGTATATGTATATGTATATGTATATGTCTGTTACATTACAGGTCATAAATATGAAATTTCATTTGTCAAGCGATCAACTTATTCAGGATTCAACCTGCTATAAATTAACCATTTAAAAGATGATTTAGTAAACAATAATTATTAAATTAAAAGAGAAGTTAGAAACTACCTGATTAGTAGTTATGTGCTCCTAAAAAGATTATGAGTACCTTAATTGCCTTCCTTAGAAGAGACAATGAATGATTCTTAGAAATTAAAAACACCAAGGTTAATTATACTCCATAACTGTCTACATCAGATCAGAAATTAGAGGCTTGTAATCAACAAATTGATATACAATACTGCGATAATACAACATAAACCCCACTCCACCCAATCTTGATTCCAGAAAAGAACAAGGTCATATGATTTTGTTAGTATGATTTGATGAAGCTTCCCATAAAATAAATACACTTGTTACATCCTTCATTATTTGGTTTGATAAACAAACCAATGAAAGTAAGTGTGTTGCTATTTTTATCAGGGTGAATGCTCAAAATAGCAACATATTTGTCTTATCAAAACATTACACACACAAACATACATTACTTTTAAAAGGCTATTCAATTTAACATTGTACTTTCAAAATATGATGCTTTAATAAGAAAAAAAAAATTTAGAATTAAAAAAAAAAAAAAAAAAAAAAAGGAATGAAGTTGAATCTTTTGTAAAAAAAATGCCATATTGGTCATTTTCCAGCAACTTTGGGCAAATTTTAACATATTTTGACAACAGCTTTTTGAAAAATGTCCTCACCACAATTTAATAATTTCGACGCCATACCATGGTTTCAGAATAAACACAAAAACAGTATCAAAAATTATCATTTGACACCATTTTTCAACAAAAAATGACTATATGTCACATGCATACATAGTCAACTATACACACATTCATTCTGTTAAGGATAAAAAAAAAAGCAATTCAAAAACCAAAAAGAAAAATAGAAATATTATACACATATACATTACAGAAACTACCCTTTTAATGCAAAAAATGATAGAAATTACTGTTTAAAATGCAGAAAATTACAAAAATTACCCATTAAATGCAGAAACTTACATAAATTATCATTTTAATGAAGAAAATTTCTTTTACAAAAATTACCCTTTAAATATAAAATAACAGAAATAACCTTTCAAATGAAGAAATACCATAAATTATAACCCTACAAATGCAGAAAATGACAACAATAACCCTTTAAATGCAAAAAATGACTGGATTCAACTTTGACAATCGATGATTTTAACCATAACATGTTTTTGACCTTTTACAAGTTTTAGTCATATAAGAGAGCAAATAGATTGCAAATCTCAAATCAAAGTGGTCCAATTTTCATTGCCAGCTTATTCCCATATATATAGCCTGCCCTAAGTTGAAGGAAAAAAGTTAAATGTATTTTGACTACCAGTAAGTAGTACATAACAACATCTAAAATAGGAATGAGTTATCAACATTAAAATTCAAGGAAATGAGTTTAATGTAACAATATAATCCACAACTTCATACAGGTATGCATAACATATAAACCAGAAGTTGAAGGGCATTTAATAAATGGTCAAAATAGATTTTATTTTCAACCAGTACACTAAAATTTGATTCGTGGTCAGCTCTCATTTACTCTATTAATTATCTCATTTTCTTTATAATTCCTTAAATTATTACATTTGGGACAAGTCATCATAAAGACAACATGGGTTCAAGATTTGGCGACGATGCACCAAGTCATTCATAAAAAAATGACATACAATAAGGATGGAACAAGATTTAAAACTGTAAAATGTCTTTTCTATCCTTTTTATCTGTTAAATCTATTAGACCACTGAATAAGTTATTCTCATATGGGACAAATAAAGAAAGTGAATCATACATAATGGAATATAACAAAAGTGGAGGAGCTTCCCAATTTGTGTTTGTCGTCTGCAGGTTTAGTGTAATTTTTTTTTTATTACAACTTGGTGAAATTGTATACTTTTATGGCTTTGTTAAAATGCATTTTGGCATGCTATCAGCTGGCTTTAAAAGATGAACTAAATGGATAGAGGTAACTTTTTTTTTGCTCAATGATTAAAACTATTAAAAAAATTTAATATCTTGATTGCATATGACCGGCATTAATTTATAAGTATGTAAATTACATGCTTAAACTTGCATATTGACAAAAAATCCATAACTGCAGTTAATAAGTATATGTGATGCTTTTGGAATTCATCAGTCTGCTTCTAAGCAATTCGTTTTGACATTCACAA